CTAAAAAAATCACTTAATATATGATCTTTGTTGGGAAGTAATCAAAAACTACATATAATAAGTTTAACTAAAAATACAAAAATATTCAATGTCACTAACCTCAACGCAATATACTTCCATGTGTCAACTACTCTCTTAAATACCGACCTTATGTAAAGTTTTGAGAGACATTCCACATGTCAACTGCTTTCTTAAATATTGACCTTCTTAAAGCGATTATTTTGCAACTACTCTTCAAGTTATTTTTAAAGAGCAGTTCTAACTGAACTATTATCAGAAGTAGAGATCTACTCTCATAAATAGACATTAGAGACCAATTTTCAATGAATCACTCTCAAAAATAGAAATTAAAGAGCAATTTAATGTTCTCTAAATGTATTATTATAAAACAGTTTCTACTAACCTTTCTCCAAGTTTGCAGTTCATAATTTTTTTTATGGTCAGTTATACAACTTTTTGTAACTTTAATATATATAAAATAAATTAAAAACATTTTAGCAGTGTCTAGAAAAATAAAGAGAATGATATAAAATAGATGAATTATTAATAACTAACTAATAATTAATTCAATATTGCTTTATACAAATAGTTGAACTTAATTTAAAATTAATAAGTAATTGACGATCTGAAAGAGATACAAGTTTTAGATAAACTAAATTACAGCTTTAGAATCTCATGAGTCAAGTATAATAATATTCTAAACTTTTCATAATCAAAATTACTATGTTCTTAGAACTTCTTTTATTTTCTTTTGTCTTGATTATTAATTTAATCTATCACATTCTTATTATTTTCCTAAGTAATAATTATTGACGATGATACTTACCAAATAACAACATCCATGGTTAAAACAAAAAACTCAAAAAGTTGAAATTACAACCCAAAAACTTATTATTAAAGTTCTATATACAACACCTAAACTATTTGATATGAATAATGTTTCACGAAATCTACACAAAATTATTTGACATTGACAAGATTATATTGAATAAAAAACCATGATAAGTTAATTAAGTATATATTTTCTATAAAAGTTATATAATTTAAACTTAGTTCATAAAAAAATATTTTGTTAATTAAATGTATGGTCCATTGAAAGTATCGCCTTTTAGTTAAACCATATCGGTAAAATCAGCAAAATAAACTAAAAATAATAATTTATAAAATATTGACTTAATTACACTTTTAGTCTTAATATTTTAATGTATACGAGAATTTGGTTCTCCTAATTTTAAGCACTCATATTTAATTTTTTAAAATATATAATTTTGATCCTTCAAGTTTTAATTGTTTATATTTAATTTTTATTGTTTTTCAAATGTTCAAATTAAGTTCTATATCTCAAAATTTTATTCAATATTTAATAAAAATATAATTAAGATAAAGAAGTATCAAATGGGTTAGCCTAACCCATGTGGAAGTCAACGGGGCCAAAAACTTCACTATGTGAAAGTTCATAAGACCCAAAAACCTATAAGGTTAAGTGGAAAATAATTAACCCAAGAGCCAATTACCTTTTAAAAAGTTATTATAATCCTTTAAAAATATTTATTTTATATAACATACTTTTTACCATAAGCTTGTAAGTAAATAAAATTACTTAAAAATAGATGAAGAACAACTAAATTTATATAATATTAAATATTAAAAATAAATTTTTATTATTAAATAATTTTAAATAAAATATAATAATTAATTATCAAATTAAGTTGTATAATTATCTAATTTTTGTCTATATAATTGATAATTATTAAATCCTAACAATATTCTTCCTTCATATAAATTTATAAATAAATTTTTAATACATTATTTTATAATTTTATTTAAGTATTAATCATAAAAAAATTTTATCTTTTAATATTTTTATATTATTATATTTTATTTATTTATTTTTATAAAATTATCTTAGAAACATCACATGTTCAATAAATATTTTTAGAGTTACAGTAGAGATAAAAATTAATAATAAAAAATGTTAGGTAAATTTGTTAAGTCATATGTTATCAAAGTGCTTGAAATGATTTATTTAAATAAAATTTAATATGTTAAAATAATAAATACAACATTGTTATCATGTAACTTATAGACATGTGATACTTAATATTATAAAATCCATAAATACAAAAAAGTAATTTGTGAACTTAGCAAAATAAATCAAATTTAAACTCATATTAATTTGATAGAATTTATTTTTAAAGTAAGATAATTTAATTTGGCAGAATTGATACAAATTTTTATTTTTTAGAATTCATTTCTTATATTTAAAATATATTTTTTAATAAAATTTAAATAAAATAATTTAATAAAAATGATAAACAAACATATTGTCTTTTACTAAAAAAAATAATATAATATTTATTAATTACTCTCTAAAAAATATTTTTATTTATTTATTTTTATAAAATTATTTTAGAAATATCACATGTTCAATAAATAATTTTAAAGCTACAGTAGAGACACAAAACTAACAATGAAATATGAAAATGTTTGAAATTATTTATTTAAATGAAATTTAATGTGTTAAAAAAAAAATACAACACCATCATTGTGAAAATTGTAGACATATGATATTTAATATTGTAAAATTCATAGATGTAGAAAGGTGACTTGTATACTTAACAAAAACTATGAATATTTGTAAAATTAAATTTTGACCAATCTTAATTTAATAAAATTGAGAGAATATTTTTATTTTTTAAATATTTTTATATTTAACATATTTTTGGATTAATTTTAAATAAAATAATTTAATAAAAATGATAAACAAATACATGTGTATTTACTAAAAAATAGTATAATATTTATTAATTACTCTCTAAAAAAGGATGAACTAACCTACCCCAGTAAACCTTAATCCATGTTTTTTTATTTATTAGGACTTAAGATCAAAGTAACATGACCTCTTTATGTATAAGGCTTAAAAAGATTTTGGGAATGTATAGTGAATTATGTGCGGTGGAGTGTGGGCCTAGAGCCACATTGACAACTCTACATGTGACATTTTATTGATTTATACAAATAAATAAAGAAAAAATGTACTAAATATTTAAATAAAAATACAAAATAAAATATATTTGAGGAATTAAATGTGAAAAAATAAACTAAGGGGGACAAAAATCATACATTTAAAAAGTTAAAGAGTCTAAGTATGAGCCATTAAAATTAGAAGAATCAAGATTGTATTTTAAAAATTTAAGAGACTAAATTTGAACCATTAAAGAAGAATTAAATGTGAAATAACTAATATTTGACATATAAATTAAAATATAGGGGTCAACTTATCCAAACTTTTAAAGTTATTGGGAAAGACTTACTGCCCCGTTCTGTAACTTTAATTCCTTCGTTAGTCCAAACGATAGATAGGGACTCACTTCTTTCCCTTTGCCACCTTTGCTTCACACTTCTGCGATTTTGGGAGATACCACTACAATTTTCATATCTGTGCCTCATTGTTTATAACATTAATTGCATCATATCATTTTTTTCTCTATCCTATCTATCTATATTTTTTCTTCCTTTGGTTTATCTTATGTTCCTTTATTGTCCTTTAATGTTTTCATTTACTCTCTTTTATTTTCTTTTCTTTTCTTTTTGGTTCTACAGCATTTTATGTATTCTTTTATTTTTCTTAGCGATTTAAAGATATATAGATCTAATCAGATGCCTCAGTATCTTAAGTGCCCAAAATTCCCTATAAAAGTAAACTCAATAGATTAAATTGACTTGATCATGTAATTTTGCTTTTGATGCCAAATGTTTGAATAAAATCAATGACAAATGTGAGAGGTAATCATGAAATCTTTGTGCAAAATGTGAAAGACTTGACTTTTTCTTCAGTTACTTCTTTTTGTAACTTTGATTATCAATGGGACAAGTCAAAAGAGTCTTAATGTTTCAAATTTATAATATGCAGAGGAGGACCTAATCATATATAACGTGCCTTCTTATAAAAAAACATACTACTAGGTTAAGGGCTATACTTACTAAACTATACTAATCATGTATTAAGTGTTGTGAGTCCATAATAGGGTCCCTTAATGCATCTTTAAATGGATCAGTGATGGCTGAATTGGCACTTTGGTTTGATTAGTTTAACTGGTTAAAATTGTGGTTAATTGGAGCGTGATTAAACCATCCAATCATATAATATTTGAATTAGAAACATAACGAGGTCACTTTTGTTTTGAAAACATAGCTGCATATGTTGTAGTTTGGGTGTTAAACATAAAAATAAAACGAAAAGGGGTTTATTTTTCACTGTGTAAAGGTCATGTTCATGTGTATGGTAAGCCTAACATTAGACCCATTGAGTGCTACAAGTGGGGGACATGGCATGTTACACCAAACACAATTAGTGTTATTGGACCCCATACACCACAAGAATGCTTTAGTTTCATTTTTCAGCACGCTTAATCCACCCCCTTCCCCCCCTACCCTTTTTAATTTTTAGGCCATTTTACTTTTATTTCACCATGAAGTGTCATCATCATTCCACGCTCAAGAATCATTTCTCCTAAGCCTTTTCTTTATTGGCACTAGCACATTCACAGGTAGATGGACAACAGTGTTTTTCCCCTCCTCCATTAGCTTCAATATATTTTTATTTTTCTCTTATGGTCATTGAATTTGACTGTGCCACTTGTTGCATCACTACAAGAGGCAATCTTTTTGACAGGAACAGCATATGTGAGTTCTGTTGAGGGAACATCTCCAAGAAGCAGAACAAGTACTTTGCTTTAAACTTTTTCATTTCCTTGATCTTTTGTCTTCTCATCTATTACCACACTAAAACCTTTCTTCTTTGAGACTCATTCCGTAGGGGGAAAAATAGTGTAAAATTCATGATTTAGATTTTAGTCATGGTGTTGTTTCCTTAGGAGTAAAAAAGAAATCAAAGCTTTTCTTTTGATTGCTGTAGCCAGAATACCAGAAAACAAAAAAAAGAAAAAGGAATTAAGGCTTACACATTTGTGTTATCATCTTGGCTCTTTTTCTGTCTCATGGGCTCTTCTTTTGCTTTGATTTTGATGATATTTTCCTGGGCGTTATCTACATTTCTGGGATCTGATGCTCAGAGTGTGAAATCAGCTCATGTTCTTGACCTCATCATAAGGGATCACACATTCAAGACACTGGAAAAGGACTTGAGGACAGGAACAGCACAATCAGTGAACTTGCCTTCAAATCTTTCCGGCATTGGAGTTGATGCTGTGAGATTTAGATGTGGCAGTTTGAGAAGGTATGGTGCACACTTAAAGGAGTTCCATTTAGGTGTTGGTGTAACTGTGCATCCATGTATTGAGAGGGTCATGTTGATCAGACAAAACATGGGGTATAATTGGTCTTCTATATACTATGCTAACTATGATCTATCTGGGTATCAACTTGTGTCTCCAATTGTGGGACTCTTAGCTTACAATGCTGATGAAGATGCAAACTCTAGCAACCCTTTTCAACTTGGGATTGTAGCTGGAGAAAAGCCAATGACAATTGATTTCACCAATGCCACCAAGTTCAAAAAGGAGGAAGAGGGGGTCAAGCCATTGTGTGCTAGTTTTGAAGGTGATGGAAGAATGACACTGGCAAAATCAGACCCATCAACACCACTTATTTGTGTTGCAAAGAGGCATGGCCATTTTGGGTTGGTTGTGGAGTCCCCACCAACAGATCAGTTCAGGAATAAGCCCATAAGTCAGTGGAAAGTGGCTGTTGGGAGTACCATTGGTGCTGCTTTGGGTGCTTTTCTTTTGGGCCTTCTTCTTGTGGCAATGCTTGTTAGGGTGAAGAAGAGATCAAGAATGGTGGAGATGGAGAGAAGGGCCTATGAAGAAGAAGCCCTTCAGGTATCAATGGTTGGACATGTGAGGGCTCCTACTGCTTCTGGCACTCGAACCACACCCATAATTGAGCATGAGTATATACATCATATTCCCCGTTGAATAGTTTCTTTCTGTTGCTGATCAATCAATTTTGTAACATTAAGATCACATTCAATCATATTTATCATAGGCCAAAAACTATGAAAGTTTCATTATGGTTCTGATCTCATCAATTTTGTAACATATTAAGATGACACTCAAATCAAATTTATCATAGGCAAAAAACTATGTAAAGTTTTATTATGTATCTGATCAATCAATTTTGTGACATTAAGATGACACTCAAATCAAATTTATCATAGGCCAAAACTAAGGGAAGCTTCATTGTGTTTCTGATCAATCAATTTTGTAACATTAAGATGACATTCATTCAAATTTGTCATTGCCAAGACTAAGATTGTATTTCTAGTTCCTACAACAGTCTTCCTATGTTCCAGTGAGAACTCTGGTTCCTATTTTCTGCTGATTCACAGTTCTTTTTCCTTCCTTTAATTAAAATGCTTGAATCAACAATCTTTTTCTCCAATTATATTTTCAACATATTATCAGAGAGAATTGGATATATGACTCAATAAACATGTTATTGAATGTCTTGCACTAAGTTTTACATTATTAATAAATCTTTGATCAAATTGAATTTAATCCACGACTGCAAATCGAATCATATTTCATTCTAAAAAGTAGCATCTTTTGGTCACCTTACCGTGTCAGAAGCAATTATACATTAGAGTTGCTTGATGCCACAGACATGAACTACTATTATGTTGTTCAAAAGTCAAAAGAAGCTAATGCAACAAAAACAGTACGAAGATTTCTTATACGAAAAGTCTACTGTGCAGTTTGACTGTGTAGCAACAAAAACAGTTTAGACTGCTTGTAATTTTGTTTCTTTAATATTTTTTATCTAATTAAGTCCCATTATTTTTTTAAAATTATATAACTTGGTCCTGCTTAATTTTTTATTTAGAACCTTTAAATTGCCATTTTCTATTTAAAAGTTTAGAGAGTTTGTAATGACATTGGGTCATAAAATAATTTTAAAAGTTTAGAAGTAAAAAATTTAGTAAAAAAAATTGATAAAATTTGAAGAAATTTGTAAGATGTGAAGGTGGGGTTTGAATATGATTTTTTTTTTTTAGATTTCATTTAATTTTAGGTACAAGTTCATAGTTTAGTGAGTTTTGAGAAGAGAATAATTTAATTGATTTATTTGTAAAAAATTTGAGCAAAATGAAGATTTGAATGTCTTAAGAAGAAAAATTAATTGACTAGAACAATTATAAAGACCAAAACTACACATACATCAGATTAGAGGAATTGAAAATCAATTAGACTTAAAATTCACAATCAATTTTCTTCTCATGAAGCAAAATTGCTCAAATATGAAACCCTTGTAATTTTCTGTGAAAGGCAACCATCTAGACATGAGATAGAGATCTAGAGATTAATAGAAAACTTGTTAACTTTCAGTTGTATAAATTACTTTAAGGGAAAAGAAAAAGAAAACCCTTCTATACATTCATTTTAATTTGTTTCTTTTAGAATAAATCATTTTCTATTTATTATTGTACAAATTCACTATGACATTAATTACAATTTTTTCAATTATACGCTTCTCTTAATAATCTAAATTTGGAAAAAATTTATTTTTAAAAATGTTTATTACATTAATATGCATACATATAACAAATGCTTTCATTGTAAAATAAAATTTACTATTTATATGCTTGAAAGCCATCCTAAAGATTTAAATTAACACTCCCCTAGTCACTTGAATAAGACAATGTTAGAAAAATTTTAATGATCCTATTTATAAGATAACTTACAAAACTTTATAAATATTTCATTTTTTTTTTATATTTATCCTTACACCATTCAATCCTTATAATTCTCAGAATTTGATTCATAAATTAAATACATTATTTGACACTCGTTGAATTCTATAACTATTACTGAATTCTTCCACTACAATGTCACATGGTATCTGTTCATATCATTAATTTTTAAAATTTATTGCTTTAGCTATATGTTCCTTGATCTTTTTGTATTCTGACAATTTTTAACTTATTTTTCTTATATTTTTATATTTATTTTTAATAGGTTTTTGAATTTAAAAAATACTATTAAATTACACTAGTTTTCAATAAAAAAAATAAGACTTTTATTATATCTGTTAAATATAGAAAATAAAATTATACATTAAGATAATACTCAACATAATAAAAAAATGATTTATTTGGGGAAGATTTTATTTAATTGAAATTTTAAAAATTATAATAAAAGACAAAAACTAAAATTATATATCATCAAACTCTTTTAATTTTTTAAATGAGGCTAAAATTATAAAATAAATTAGATTTATTATTTTTAATTGGACAGCAATACGAACTTAAATCACAAATTATAAGTCAATTCATTTTAGTGAGAGTAGTACACATAAGTTATTTTGTTATTCATATGCACACATATTAAGTGATTACTATAGTATTAAAATATATATAAAAAAAATTTTAATTTGAATATTATAACTTTTTTTAGTCTGTCAAATAATTATATTTACTATTAATTTTATTTTTTTAAATATATATATATATATATATATATATATATGATATTAAGGTTCAGTTTAGGTAAATTTCTTTTTCATAGTAGAAAAATTTAGTATAAAATATAATAAATTTTTTCTATAAATTAGAAATAATTTATCTTTTTCTATTTTTATAAGATCTCTTGTTTAACTTATCTAAAATTTAAAGAGATAAAATTATTTTTAACTTATAAAAGAAATTTTATTTATTTATTTTATAAAGATTTCTATGTACGTAAGGTCACTCAAACTAGATCTAGGTCTAAGTTTTTTAAATATTAAAAAATGTACAAATAATTTTTATTTGAACTTATAACAATAAAATAATTTATTTGATATCTTTTGAGAGACTTATTTGATATAATATTTTTTTAATAAAAAATATAATATCAAATCATTTTTTCAACTACTAAATTAATATTTTTTTACATTTTCTAAAGTAATTTATATATAAAATAATATTTTAAAACATATAAAAATATATTCAATAATTATAAAAAATTATTTAATATTATTATTCATGCATTTTTAATAAATAATAATATAAAAAAATTTATTTTATAAAGCCATACAAAGTACAGGCACGAAATCTAGTTTTCAGATTAAAATTTTCAAATTTAAAATTTTAGTGTAAAATGTTGAAAGAAAAATTTAAATAAGAATTTAATGTCTTTAAAGTGACATAATTGACATAAAAATGAAATTTTATTTTAAACAGAGATAAATTTGAAATGTTGTATAATGAATTTTAAAAAAGTAATGCATCTATTAATTTTTACACGTTTTTTTAATATGTATAATTTGGTAAGAATTACTTTATCAATAAGATGTAAGACAATAATTTTTTTTTCTATTTCTAATTACATTTTACACAGTTTCAAAGACAACATTTATAACAGATGAAATATTACAGAAACAAATGAAGAAAAATTCATTAATAAAAGATATAATTTTAAATAAATAAAAGATTAATAAAAATAAAAAATAATTGTAAGCCCAGTGAAGACTTGAATTACATTTATTAATTTATATATTATTTTTATTGAATAACAAATAAAAAGGAATACCCAATTGTTGCTACTTCTTTCAAACAAATCTAACTATTAACAAATTTGAGAGAGTATTATTTATCTTTAGATGTGATTCTGGTGATATCTTAAAAATTAGAGTGTATTAACATCTTTTTTACTTAAACTAATAAAAAATAACTGGACCATTATCATCTAGCTACTTAGTTAAACTCTAAAAGATATGAATTTGGGAATTCATATGATTATGCTTTCACTATTATATTTACTTATGCAAGAGAGTATGCAAGTAAACTTGTATTGCAGACTAATAGAGGGAAAAAAATATTTACAATGATTGAATATTTCAAAAGTTAAAAAGAAATCACTAATAAAAATTAAAAAAATATTATATAATTTCAACAGTTTAATTGAACATTTTAAGTCTTTATAAACTTTTATTTATTCAAACAGATAAATAGAAACAAAAGATCTATGAGCTTTGATAAATAAATAAATAAAAGCATTTCTTAGTTCACTATCTAAAAGATTTGGTTTTAAATTTAAATTCAATTCAATATAAAGTAAGTTAGAACATGTTTTTTTCTTATTTTGTTTTTTGAAGAAACAATATATTGCCAGTAAATTATATTTTTTTTCTTATAGAAATATTTAAATTATACTTTCTTGTTTTATAATATGCACTCTTCTTTCCTGAGAGATGAATATTAGTCATATTTTAATTATTTTTAATAAATAAATCGTTTAATGGTAGTGAGTGATTATAAAAGTATCAACTAATAATATTTTATTATTTTGTTTTACAATTTTTAATGTTACTAATAACAAATTTCATCATCTTATAGTCTATTCTAATATTGTTGTTTTTTTTTATGCTTATTATTATTGGCTTTGAAATATTTTGATCATCTTTCAATAATATGCCTATTATTATTATTTTCTAAAGTCACCAAATCCTTAATAAATAGTATAAATTGACTATTAATTATTTTAAGAATCACTAAGAGATAAAATAAAAAATAAAAAAAATAAAACTCTAACAGGCTCAATTACACTAAAATAATCTTAAAAATTATTACATTCTTTTTTAAATTAAGTAAAGTGTATATTTTAAAATAAGATATCAGAATAATATAATTCAAGCACCTCTCAAGGATGGAGAACATAATCTACCTAAAAGTAAATTTAGAAATACATTAGCAAACATAATGAAAAAGTAACTCAAAATATAAAAGAATTTAAATATTTTTTAAACAAAATATTCAAATTTATACAAGCTAAACAAAATACATCCTTTTATATATTCAAACTATACATAAACAAACAAATTTGATGCTAAAACAGATATTCCTTAGTCCCAAATTAATTTATTGAAAAATAAAAAATTAAAATAATATTAAATTCTTATATATGAATTATTTTTAATAATTTTAAAAATTTATATT